CGTAGTACGAAAATAAATAATAAATACTTAAAAATGGCTTTACAAAATAAATAAAGAAATGAGTATATTATTTGGTTAAGAGTCTGTTTGGGAATAGCGTTAGAGATTAGCGTCTGCGTTTTGGATAAAATTTAATAATGCAGATTATTTTAAAAACGCTAAACGCTGCGCTATATAGTGTTTTTAAAAACACCAATACTAATCTCTAACGTTATTCTCAAACAGATCCTAAATTATGGATAAAAATATAAGGAGTAAAAGCAAATAAGATATACTCCGTAGTTTGATATTGCACACCGATAGACCAATGGATACTAAGAGAAGATACGATGCAGCGGGCATTATTAGAGTTGACGGAAGGCATTGAAATCGCAATAACATTGAAACTGTGATGGATGAGATTAAAGGAGCGGGGTTACGATTTGGGGTTAAGAGTGAATCTAAAATTATCAAAAGAACATTATCATACATTTATAATAATAATAATAATGATAATGATAATAATAATATTATTATTAATTAATTAATTAATTACTACCACATCCGCTCCTGAGTATTTGTTCAATTTTGACTATTTTTGGTCAACTGTTTTCAACTTTTAACCGATAGTTAAATAAAATATATTTTGTATATTAGTTATATAAAATAATATTTTGAAAATATTTGATATAATAAGTCTAATAACACAGTTTTTGTATCAATATTTAATGTCATTTTTATTTAATTTGAGATCAAAATTTACCAATTTTGACCAAAAAGAGTAAAAATGGACAAATACTCAGGGATGGACGGAGTACTATTTAAGAAACAAAAACATATCCATATGTGAGGAAACTAGTTTTTTGTAGTATTGTTTAGGTAATTTTTACTACTTCCATTGCTAGCTTAATTACTGTTTAAACTCTTAATTTCTAGTTTTTTCAATTTTTTTCAATTTTTTTCAATTTTTCCATTTTCTTCCAGTTTTCCCAATTATCCACATTTTCTTCAATCTTTTTTTACTCCTAAATAATGACTCTAAAAATAATATGTTTTTCATAATAATAATAATAATAATTATTATTATTATTATTATTATTATTATTATTATTATTATTATTATTATTATTATTATTATTATTATTATAACTATATTTTGTACTCTCTCCGTCCCGGAAAACATGGGAGTTTTGATTTTGAAGAGAGATTTAAGGGGAGTGTATTTTGGTATTGAATTTCCAAAAATGTCCTTTGATGTGATGGGTAAAAGCATGATTTGATGGATAGATTATTAGTAAAAAGGTATGATGTGATAGGTAGGGTATGAAAAACAAAAGGGTAAAAGTGTCTGTTTAATAGAAATGAGAAATGTTTTTTGGGACGAATGAAAAATGAAAAGAGAAAGGTTTTCAGGGACGGAGGGAGTAATTTTTTCCAATGTGGAATCCTAAGTTTTTTAATACCAAAATAAATGTATAATGACAATGTGGTCAGTGTATTATGTCAGTGTATCAGTCAACCATCGCGCGATCCGTGGTGGCACTCTAGTGGCCGGCGGCGACTTCTGTCAGTGTGACAATGATAGTGTGAAAATTATAATGTGACAATGTGGTGAGTGTGACAGTATATCAATGACAGTGTAAACTTCTATTTTGGAGATATCGAATTTGATATCGAATTTTCTCTTTATAATATTTGGAGATATCGAATTTGATATCTTATTCTGCTTTACCAAACACCCAAATTTGGGATATATATATATATATATATATATATATATATATATATATATATATACATATACATACATACATACATACATATATATATATATGTGTGTGTGTGTGTGTGTGTGTATATATATATGTATATGTGTGTATATATATATATATATATATGTATATATATATATATATATATATATATATATATATATATATATATATATATATATACTCCAGTGAGATGACACCTTACAGTGAGATGACATGCTTCGGTCAGATGACACAAAGCTCACCACTGGCCACTGCAAAGCTCACCAAAGACAATTACAAAGCTCACCAAACTGTAAGGCAAAGCTCACCATATTTTTTTAACACTTTAAGGCCTCGTTTGGCATCAGCATTAGCTATTAGTGTTAGCGTTTTGAAAAGGCTATCCGACGGTAGCCTTTAGAGTTAGCGTTTTCAGAATTAATCTACACCATTAAAATTTTATCCAAAACGCTAACGCTAATCAAAAACGCTGTTCCCAAACAAAGCTTAAGTTTTTTCAAAAAATAAAATCAAAGAAAGGGGTGCTGACTGGACTTTGACTGTGTACCGCCAGCATTGACCGCCGGTCGCCACCACCGGACTCCGGCCGCCACCGGTCGCCGCCGCCGGACTCCGGCCGGAAGTTTGATATCTCTCTCATGTTTCATAACTGATATCTTATCATATATCTAAACTCACCGAACAGACCGTTAGTGTAGTGATGAAAGACAAAGATTAAAATATAATTAGAAATGGGAAAATAATTAAAATATAATCTTCATATTTTTTTTTTCAAATTAAATAGAGCTTATAATATAACGTCAATAGTGCTAAAAACTACTACTAAAAAATATTATGAAATGTCAATACACAGTGTCACATTGTCATAGTGTAATAGTTTTAGTTAAATAATAAAAACATGTTATTCATATTTTTAGATAAACAATATGTTTTGCTTTTATTTTAGATAATTTTTTATATTAATACTTCCTTCGTCCCACTATATTTGTCCACTTTCATTTTTGCACACCATCCAATACAGTTCTTTAATCAATTTTATCTTGTAATTTGTATATTAAAAAATTATAGAAATTATATATTAATAATCTATATGTTAAGACAAATCAAACAAGATCACGCATGACTATATTTAGGCTTACACATTGAGAAAATTTGATAAGTCAAAGTGCTTAGATGAACAGCTCCAAAAGTCAAAAGTGGATGAATATAGCAGGACGGATGGAGTAATTGATTTGGATCAAATAATTAAAAATTGAACGAATTTTAGTATGAAGAGTTACCTTAGCGGGTTAGGAAGAAAGCATGTAGTGAGCTATCATATCCCTTGTTTTCCTCCTATGAATTCGCGTCATTAACTTACCAAAACTCTTGCTATGATTTATTATGATTATTCATTACTGCAATATTATTTTAAATACTCCGTAGTAATTACAATAATTATACTCTTTTAATTACTTTCATTATTCATTTTTTATACTCATTACATAAAATAATATAGTAATGTCACATCTTGTTTTATAGAATTTTAGATGTGGTTTTGAAATATATAACTTTTACTTTTAATTTCACAATTTTTAGATAAAATAAATTAAAAATAATTTCAGTAAGACATTGTAAATCGAGACACTCAATGTAAATCAAACTTGAAATTGGTTTGAATTGATACTACACCTATGAGTATGGAAGCCACTAAAAAAATATTAATATTAGTAGTAATTAACAATAATAATGATAATAGTCATACGTCTTTCTCCTTAAATCCAATTCAATTTTTTGTTGGATTTTTTTGAGTCTGAATGAACTTTGACTATTATTTGTACTCCTCCCGTGCCATTTGATTCTTGATAGAATGTGTTACGTTATTTGAAAAATGTTATTTTTAAATAATTTTTTTGAATATTGGTTTAAATTAAAGTGAAAAAAAATAAAATTTATATATCTGAAAAATATATAAAAAATATCTCCAAAATGAAAATTTAAATGATAATATTAGTTTATCAAAAGATATCTAAATATGTAAATAATAGTTCGACCGTGGAATTCATTTCTTTTATGGACGTTCCAAAAAAAGCTACAATTTTTTTCTACTTATGAAAAAGTTTTTGCAGCTTCGTATTTTTTTCTTTTATTTGTATCACGTTCAATCACATAATTTTATTTCTCTTGAACTCTTTATTGAACCTAGAGCTGGCAAATCAGTCGGTCAGGTCGGGTTCGGGTTCGGTCACTTCGAGTTCGGGTTATTTCGGGTTCGGGTCAATTCGGGTTCGGGTTGAGAACTGTATGTTCATGACCCAATGTCATCGGGTTCAGGTCGACCCAACGGGTTATGAATTGGTTTTTTAAATTTTTAAATTAACATTAACACTTACATTTTTTATTAAATAAATTTAAAATATCAAAATAAATGTATTAAATATATTAGATTATTTTATTTTTAGTTCTGAAGTAATTTTTAGATTTATAAATCAATATAAGGAATTTAAAAAATACTTAAGTTTTGGAAAAAAGTAAGACAATTATGCAATATCATTAAAATTTTGTATGAAAATATAAATTTATACACTAAAAATGAGTACTAAAGTGTATGATTTTAAAAAATACTTACTTTAGCGGGTCGGTCAGGTCGGGTTCGGGTTCGGTCAGGTTTGACCCATTTTTAGCAGGTCATTTCGGGTTCGGTCAACTTCGGGTTCGGTCATCAAAACCTTTGTTCAAAACCCAGTGTTTTCGGGTCGGGTTTCGGGTCAAAAACAGGTCGGGTCATTTTTTGCCAGGTCTAATTGAACATAATGTCGGCTATTGAATTGAGAGAAAAAAAGTATTTTTTTCTCTTTTTTGTACTACTTTCAATAACCCAATTTTAGTTTTTTTATTCCCGTGTCAAATCAAACATAAAATAATTTTTTACAAAACTGTTGATGTAAATTCCGATATTTCAAAGCACGGAGTACCCAGCATAAAAATAATCTAATTGGATTAGTTTGGCGTAAAATGAGAAACGTTGTTGAGACTTGAAAAGTCCATCGAGTTGGGTGAAGTGAGAAAGGTAAGAGTAAAATAAAGGGAGTATTTGCTGGCAGGCCCTTCAGTGATTTACTCTTTTCAGTCCTCGTCCCCAATTCAATCCTACTCAACTCTACTCTGACTCTCTAGGGGGCCTAGGGTTTGTTTATAATAATAAAAAAAAAAATAAAGAGAATAGTGATCTCATAACCGCCTTTTCGCCTTTCTTTCTTCTCTTAGCTCCGTTTTCTCAATCCTTGATTTCTGGCGGCCGTATGGAAGGCGAGATCCCGGAGAAGACGGATCGTCGCCGTCAAGACGGAGACGGGGAGAACAGTAGCGGAAAGCTGAGGATCGGCGGTCAGAAGCCGTCAACGCCGCCGTCCGCGGCGGCGGAGAAGAAGGAGCACGTCTGCGCGGACTGCGGCAAGGTGTTCAGCTCCGGGAAGGCGCTCGGAGGTCACATGAGCAGCGCGCACGTCCAGGCGGGCCGGGACTACTCGTACAAGAAGAAGAAGAAGACCCCGCTCCGCCGCGGCGGCGGCGGCGCTGCGGCGTTTTCCGACGAAGACGAGGAGGCGGCCGACGAGGATGAGGACCTAGCTCTCCGCGAGTACTACCGCGGAATAGACGGGAAAATCCGTTGCAATCTTTGCGGGAAGCGGTTCCCCTCGAGGAAGTCCTTGTTCGGCCACATGAGATGCCATCCGGAGAGGGGGTACAGGGGAATGGAACCGCCAATCGACGAAGCCGAGGACAGCGGCGAAGAGGACCGCCGCCGCCGCTATCTGCCCGACCAACCCGGCGGCGGCGCGGGGGTCGAATTGGAGAGGCTACTGTGGGGCTGGTCGGTGAAGGGGACGAGAGGGCGGCCGCCGATTCAGACGGCCTTCTCCTCGTCCTCTTCCTTTTCCCGAGACGAAGTCAAACTCCACCGGGCGGTCAACAACCTGGTAAGTCTTGTCAAGGCCGCCGATTCTCCATCTCCCAAAAACCCTAATAAGCTCCAATTTCTGGATGAGAAGAGAAATTGCCTTGTTCTCGATGCTGGTAATTTCAATAATGGATCTGCAAACAAGGGGAAGGGGAAGGTGGTGTGGGAACCCAGGTATAGATCCGGGGAGAAATCGAGCTCCGAAGAGGAGGACGATGACGTGGCAGGCTCGATGAGCTCGGAAGACGAGGACGACGAAGAAGAAGAATTGGGGATGGCATTGGTCAATTTGAAGAATGGGTCTTCTTTGGGATCTGACAACAACAACAAGAAGAGGAAGAGAACAAGTGAGGAGGATTTTGGAGGAGGCATTGGTTGGAAGTATAATAGGAGCAGTAATAATTGTGGAGGGGAAGAAGAAGAGAATAACAATAACAACAAGTTCAAATGCAGCACTTGTAGCAAGTGCTTCACCAGCCACCAGGCCTTGGGAGGCCACAGGTCAAGCCACAACAAGTTCAAAGTCACCATCCAAAACGCCATTGATGTCGTCGCGGAGGAGGATGAAGACAACAATAATGGCGAAGAAGAAGAAGAAGAAGACTGCACGATTGGCAGCTACCAATGCGGGGTTTGCAACAAGGCGTTTGCGACGCGGAGGGCATTGGGCGGTCACAGGAAGTGCCATTCCACCCCCGCCTCTAGCCTGCAACAACAGCACCACCACCATCAGCAGCAGCAGCTGATCATGGCCTCAGCTGCTGTTGCCGCTGTTGGTGCTGTTGCTGCTGCTACTACTACCACCACCACCTCTTCATCTTCCCCTCCTCGGCTTGTCGAAAATCGCAAGATTATTCTCGATTTCGATCTCAACGAGATTCCAGATGACGACATGGACGACGCTCAAATCGAGTGATGATGATGATGATGATGATGATTGAATCCATCCAGTTTCTTCTTCTTCTTCTTATCTTACATCTTCATCATGCAGCAGCAGCAGCCAGCAGCAGGAGGAGGTAATTGAGCAATAATACTGTATTATCCTTCTTCTTCTTCTTCTTCTTCTTGCAGCTCCCTCATCAGCTTAATTACCTATACCTAGCTAGCTCCCAAGTCCCCAGGCCATTATTATTAGTCAAGCAAGCTTCTTGTGTGTTTGAGTGTGTGTATATTCACACAGCTACACACACAAATTCTTCACTTATCAGTAAAAATATTTATTATGTGCACTGATTCCCAAGTTCTCTAATGGGACTTCTCCTTTTTCTAGTTCAGAATCAGATTGGGGATATGTGGCACATATATACATGAAGCTTTATCAACAAGCCTTTTTCATTGTCTCTCTTTTATTCACACAATGTTAATTACTTTGGAGGCTTATTAAAAAAGAACATAAAATCAAGAACATGGAAGATTAAGATTACTCAAGGAATTGAAGACAAACATTCGATTTCTTTTTAATTCGATCCAAGAACGATTCCACAATTTCGTAAATTTAGATTGTAGTTTCTTTGTAAAAAAAAATTAAAACAAAAGACCAACATACCAATGCTAGTGTGATATTTGGAATTGTCTTGTTTTTTTTTCAAATTATATATTTCTGTAGAGAATTATTTCTGTATAATTTAGTGTGTGGCTTGCTGCAATACATATGATAATGCAATCTTAGTAGCATTTGCTATACATATGATAATGTAATAATCTTAGCTGCATTTGACATACATATGATAATATAAATGATCTTTGTGGCATTTGCTGCTATGCATATAATAATATAATAATCCAAGTAGCATTGGCGTGGCTATGTGCATATGATAATGATATGTAATCCTAGTACAAATCTGAAGTGTAAACCAGCTCCATTTTTCTGAAATCCACATACCAAGTATGTTTATGAAGTTATAATATGGGGATTAATGCCCAACATTATTTATTTCTAATTGTTTCATTTTCTCTATCATTTTGTTCCTGCATTTGTCTTTAAATGATTAATACTTCTCATGCCAGTAAAAAAAACATTATTTATTTTCTTTATTCATTAAAAAAAATCGCTTCCCTTTTAATGTAAGAAATGAGCACTTCACGATTTTTTTCTCTTCAAAAAAATGTTAACAATTTCTTTTTTTTACTTTTCCAGACTCTTCTTGAATGTCTTGAAAGTTAAACAAGTTTTTTTAGGGGATGAATGAAGTAAATATCTAGTGCAAAGTGGTTCTACATTATTTTCATGCTTAATCATAGCGAGCTTTATTTTAATTTAGGGACAGAAAAATATTAAATTTTTTGACCTAGAAAATGTGCAAAACAAAATCATTTCAAGCTTTGAGAAGAATTTTAGAGCATCTGCGTTACCCTATGATCGGCCAATTATTTTTGTGTCCGTTTGGTAATAGTTCTACCGCTATCTTTAGCTTTTTGAAAGAAGTTACTAATAATAGTGTTTAGTTTTATCTCAACTAATTAAAAGTACTAATTAGGTTTAAGGATTATTTTTAAAATAAAAAACTTTGTAAGAATGATCTAAACAAAAAAAATTACAGAGAACAAAAATATATTTACCCTTCAAAATTTCATATTTGAAAATTGAAATCAAAAAATTGAGATGAAATCAAAATTTCCAAGCCCTACCTTCTTGTTTGCAACAGATTTTGGTATAAAATTACCAAAAAGGTAGTGAAAATATGCCAAAATGAGTTGGGCACACATAAATGGAGTATAATATTGTTCCTTTTTTACTCACACTTTAGGAAACTTGACCATTATTTAAATAAATAAAAAGAATCAAATAAGATTTTTCCAAAAAAAGTAAGGAGTATTATAATAAAATTATTTATTTACATACTGGGATAATGTATATTCAAAGGAAATATATACGGAGTAAATAAGGCATGAGATCTCGATAAATCATGAAATGAAAGAGTGATTCTTTCCTTTTTGTAAAAGATTAATACTTTTATGATGTGAACCCAAAGTCTGAAAATGAATTTGCATGCCGAAATGAAAATGTGGCATTTTAGAAATAATATGTGGGGAAAAAAATATTGTGAGTAGTCTGATTAATTATATGAACAAAACAAAACAATAACATATGTGGGTGCATGAAGTCTACATATAGAAACAAAATGTACAAGGATCATAATTTATACGGAGTATTTCATTTCTAAAGAAACCCATAAATATGCATGAATACGTGCAGAAAGAATGCATACCTATGAACAATACTTAGCCTATATATATAATTAATAAATGCATTTGCATTATGGATTTATGGAGTATTGTGTTTAGAAACAGGTCTTATGCTCACTCACTTTGAGTGGCCGCCACAGAAGACTGTGTCTTTCTACGGTGTTCCGTTCGTAAAATTGATAATTTCTATCCCTAACTCTCCGAATTCGTTCCTCCCCCCACCCCCAATGTAGTCAGTGGCGGATCCTGAAATTTCAGTGAGTGGGTTCACATTTTGTGCACAAAAGGAAAATGTTGATATTTGTATAACAAAAAATTTAAAACCTTAAAGGTAAAAAAGTATCAATAAATTAAATAGCATTCTGAGATTAATATTGTGAGTTGTATGCAATATTTTTGAAATACTATATAGAAAATATAATACGTTCATTGTTTTAACCAAAAAAGAAAAAAAAACTAAACAACTAAAGTACTAATTCTAGACATTTCTTCAAATACTAAGTGGAGTATATTTTAGGAATCTTTTTAAAACAATTAAACTTGTTCATACATTCCAAAAAAATTGAACATTTTATAATTAGGTTTCAAAATGAAGGTTTAATTAGTTTTCCAAATCTAAAAGAATTAAAACATAAAGTTCTAAACAACTATAAAAATGTGTTCCGTTTTTAAGAAATAGCACCTAATCACATATAAATATACTCTAGCTACTAATAAATTAAATACTCCGTATTTTTTTTGGAGTGGGTGCAAGTGACCCCACTTGCACGACCCTAGGTCCGCTCCTGAATGCAGTCTCGAGTCTAACTCATCCTCCACCACGTCAATTGCACTACACAATTTTAAATGATTTTAGGATCAAAATTTTTGACCGCAATGCCAACTAAATTTGCGGATGCAATTGACGTAGGTGAAAAGATGTTGAGATCAGTGTTGGGTGGGGTTTATCGGAAAATAAAAACTATCAATTTTGTGAATGAAAGAGGGTAGATATTTTAATTGGAATACTGGAATAGTCTCTCCGGTGGCCACTCAATATAAGTGACCGTAGAATGGGACCGTTCCGTTCATAGCCTACGAGGCGGTTTTCGTGTGGTGTTAATTTCATAAAAGAAATGGAGAATGGTGTCCACCGTGCCTCAATAATAATGCATCATTCACTCATTTAAGTCATTTTGTTCCACCATGTATGGCAAATGTGTAGTATTCGTTTTTAAGTTTTAATTCTGCAAATATTTTTTATTAATTTTCTTAGCATTTGTAATTTAGTTGCAATTTTATGCATTTTAAAATTCCTATTTTATTACGTAGTATTTTGTAATTTTAATGAGGTATTCTTTATTTTTAATTTTTTAACTGTTACAATCCTTTTTATGTTGTTATAATTATCCATATTTTTATTAATAAATAAGTATTTTTATTAAATTTATATAAACTTCAATAAAAATGATGAATAATGTAAAAGAAACGGAGAAGCGGAGTGAGAGAGTGATAATATTGCAAGTATTTGGGGCGGGGCTGAAAATGAAAATGATGATGTGGCAAACAATAAGGCAGGATGAGAAGCACCACATTATAAGAGCTTCTCCTTTCTCCAACCATTAAAAATAAGAACTTTAGGAAATTAGTTTCAATATTTTTCAATACAAGGGGAGAACTAAACTTTAGCAAGATTGCTATTTCAACCAATGGATTAAGTTATTTGTACTCCAAATTAAAATTCAAACCTCATTTTGTACACCAAAGGCATGTTGGTGATTTTAGTGTCATCGATTTATTTTGTGTATGTAATTGGATTTACTTAGATCAGACAAGAATTTTAATAGACGTTGTCAAACGAGTTAGAAAGCGCAGAGTGCGCGCTCATTCAACGATATTACAAATTCACTGCGGGGGTCCAGGGGCGGCAGCCCCTGGCGGGGTCCAAGGGGCAGAGCCCCTGGCCGGGGTCGAGATGAAAATTCTTAAGATTTTCGTGATCGGAGTCCTAAACGGTAAAGGACTCCAACGAGTGGATAACGTCGAAATTTACTCCAAAAGCCGCAGGAACTTCTCGCGCCTCTTCTCCGCGCGAACGTACACATACGTCTACGCGAACGCTCATGTCCGATCAAGAAATTTTCGAGTCTATAAAATAGAGTCTCGTGGTATGGATTGAGAACCATTTTCGAGTGCTTGTTCTTGATTAACGTCTTATCCGATTGAAGTATTTCGTATACCCCGAAATAACTTTGATCAGAAAGCGTTTCGTACGCGATTCGTTATTCTATCGAGTTTTTCGTTATACTATCCAACAAGGCATGCACTGATATTTTGTGCTAGTGTGATGTTAGTATGATAGTTTACATTGAAAAAATATGTCAGTGCAAATTTTTTTAATTAAACTAATACTTTGTGTCAGTGTAAACTGCTAAAATGTCGGTATATTTCCTTGTAGTACAACTTAAAGTATACTTTTTGGTGTTCCCTAGCATGGTTGTTCAACCAATACAATGGTATTTATAGCAAATGCATTTGATCTCCTAAAAATATTTAGTTGCCTATCTCCCACTTGAACCCTCGGATCTTCTATAGCAAATGTCCCTTAACTACATAGGATGTTCTTCCCAGATAAAATAAAATAAAATTTATAAATTTAAAAATATACTAAAAATTTAACAAAACAAGAGGTGACACGGCTATATTATTTTAATTTTCTCAAATGAATTGCAAAAATGGGTCAAAATATGGTTAAAATTAGATCATTTGAATAGTAAACAAACAATTAAAATTATGACGGAAAAAGTAATAAATTGATATAATGTATATGGTTGGAATAACATTTACCAACCCATTTTAGTGCTCTAAGCCGTCATAAGTTTTCATCTCAAAATAGCTTGTACTTAAGGTGCTTCGAGGAGTGTGAGAACATTAGCTATCCATTCATTTGCTTACTTTATAATTTGATAGAGTAAAAAAACTTTACTAAGCCTAGAGTTATAAATTTATAATTTTTGTTTGAATTGATCCTTTGACATGATAGCAAAGCTTTGTTGGCAAGCAGTCACGGATTTGAACCCCATTATACATTATTTTCAACCGTATAATTTTATTTTTTAGTTTTTGTGTCAAATCAAATGTAAAAAACTTTTTTACAAGAAAGAGGAATTAAAAATACAGGGTTTGTGTTGATTGATTCTTTAACATGTACTACGTTATAGAAAACATAAATTAAATTATACATACGTGACAATTCTGTGAAAGTAGTTAGGGATGAAGCTACTACTCTAATGCAGAGTTTCTGTTTAGAGTGTATAATTATGATGATAGAAGTGAGATTGGGACTCACGAAATAGAGAGACAGAGGTGAGACATGAGATGGTGTGCTAACTTCTGTCTAATGGTCTCTTTATATATACACTCATGGAAAATTGTAATTAAGTGTTAAGGATAATTACGCTCCTCGAAGAATTATCAATTAAACACATAGAGATATTAAAGTCAGTGATGAGTTATTTGGATTAAAAACACTAAGGGGCTGTTTGGCAACTTCTGAATGGGTAAGTGCTGAACCAGTAAGAGGTCTGAACCATTAAGTGTTGAACCAGTAAGAAGTCTGAATCATTAAGAGCTAGTATATTGCTTAACTATTCAGAGGCAAATGTCTGATCAATTCAGATAAGAGGTCTTAACCATTCAGACTCTGTATAATACTTAACCATTCAGAGGCAAATCTCTTAACCATTCAGACATCTGAACCATTAAGAGGCTGAAACAAACAGTCTGAACCATTAAGTGCTGAACCATTCAGACATCTGAACTATTAAGAGGCTGAAACAAACAGCCCATAACTCAGTAGACCACATCAAAAATATTGTGTCTTACACAGAGTACTATAGCTACAATGCTTGAGTGGCATGTGTTTTTTTTACTTATGTTACTGTATAAAATGCATTATTCACTCATTGTCTTTTGAGAAATACTTCGTACTAATCACAAACCCAATGATTACAAATAAATAAATTTACTATTTGTGTATTTTAATTTTTACATTTTAATTATTAAAAAATATTTTATTTTCTTGGTAAGGTGCAAATATAATAACATTGTGTAGTGTGTAATCTTTGTCTTTGTGACTGTAATATTTGTCCATCTATTTGTCTTGCAAAAATACTCTCGTTTTATTTTAAAGAAAATATTATTTGTTACTTATTGCTTATTTTTTCTCTATATAATACTCCCTCCGTCCCAATTTATGTTGCATGTTTTGGTTTATGGTGTTTGACCGAAATTATTTTCAAATAATTTTATATGAAAAATGATGTAGAATTAAAAAATAAAAATTATATGTTAAAATACTACATCAAAAGATCTACAAAACTAACTATATTATTTTATCATATGATTAACGAAAATAGAGAAGGAAAGTGAAAACAATTTAAGAGCACAGACAATGGCAAGTAAAGAAATGGAATGCCACACGTTGACGTGGCATATTTCAACCAATAAAAGCATATCCAGTCAGCGTGTGGCAAGTGAGTGGAGTGACATCTCATACAATGGCAAGTCATTATTTTTATCAATTTTTATGATTTTTTAATGCATTTTAATTATTAAAAATAATTTCATTTATCTTTTTTAAATAGATTTCCTTTTTGAAAAAAAACTTATTTCTTCTACAAAAAAACAAAAAAAACTGAAAGCATGTGATTTTAGACTGATTTGTGTTGATTAATTAATTTTAGAGTCTACACACTTGTAGAAGGGCCGAATTGGAAGTATGATTGAAGATTTGGGGTCAAGCGACGGCGGCAAGCATGAAGCACTCCAGAGACGGCGGCAAGCATGAAGCACTCCAGCGACGAGCAGCCCGAACTCCATAAGCAAGAACTCCAGCGACCCAAATTTTTTTTCTTCTAATTAAAAAATAAAAAAATACGTGAAAGTGCCTCGCGTCTCACACGTTTGGCGTGGAGGAATGCTAAAGCCTCGCGAGGCAAGGTAGGGAAAAAGGTGACATGGCGCAGCGAGGTGAGGATTTGCCTCGCCGCTGCGCATGCTCTAACCATGTGAATAGTAAACATGTAATTTAATTTCAGAGAGAGAGATTAAATTTATATTGCGAACTAGTTCTACTCGGTACATTGTTTTCATGCCAAATCAAATAAGCAATAATTTGATTTAGGGACCGAAATATTTTTAAAACTTTTATACCTATAAAATATCTTCGGCATTAATGTCATATTGCGAACTAGTTCTACTCCGGCATTAGTGTCATATTGATCACTCTGGTCCAAATTCTCACGATTTTAATTTTAAAAATCTCTAAAAACCTCATACTTATGAGTTGGATCGAACTACTTCAATCTTGATTCCTCTCTTTTCACCTCCAATGTGGGCGGTACTTTAAACCACCAATGTGAAGCACACAAATAAATTTGACTAATTAATTATTTAGGTGATATTGTTCTTTTTTAAAAATCGCTTCATATGCCATGTCATCCCAAAATACTTATGTAGAAGTGTATTTTATCCCGCGAAACATATGTGAAAAATTTTAAAACATACGTAGTACAAAATAAATTGACGAAAGGGTCGTAAAAGATTCTTGCTCGCTTAGGAGAGAAAATATTTGCTCTGTATTTAATTGTGAATTTTGATATTTTGAGTTTTAACAGAAAATATCATATACTTGCAGTACGTTTGGTACGTGAAATTTTGAAAGAAAAGATTGAAAACTTCCCGTCCTTCACAAAATGAGAGAAAGATTGTTTTTTTCTCATTTCTTTTCGTTTACTCGGTAACCAAATACTCCCTCCGTCCCCCTAAAATGTTCTCATTTTAACTTTTGTGGTTTTTAAGGAGAGTTGAAAAAAGGTGAAAGTTTACCATAATACTCTTAATAAAAAATGGGTGGAGTATATTAAATGAAGTGGGTGAGGTGTAATAAATAAAGTAAGTGGGGATAGTTGTGGTATTTTAATTGTTAAAAAATGAAATGAGAAATCTATTGTGGACAAAGAAAAAGGGTTATTGAGAAAATCTATGGAGAACGGAGGGAGTAAAAAACTTTGTTAATTACAATTTTCTTTTTTTATCATTTCATTGTAAACCTAACATAATGCTAGATAGAATAATTTCAAAGCCCCTTTAAATGACGAGCCCTATGCGGCCCCATAAATTTATGAACTGATACAATAACGTTGAGAGAAAAAAATCACTACTCAACGGAGATGAGAAGCCATGAAATTGCAACCCAAACACCACTTGTGTTTTCTACCACATAGGACTTGCTCCGTCTACAATTTTTCTTCCTGGTTTGACCATGCACGCATTTTGACTATACATAACATGCTCTTGGCACGTTGGTTGAGTGCCGCCATTGCATCATTCCAAACTCCACATCAGCCATTGCGGAAATTCCAATTATGTCCTCTCATCAATCAACGACGTCAAGCATTTGAGTCCCGAGACCAACACATTGAAGCACATACATTATACATCTTTTCACTCTTGAAATAACAACTCAATTTGTTCGGATCCAGTAGAGGAAGATGATGAAGGCCACACAATGGGCAAGGGAGTATGAGAGTGGAGGGGAATGAATTAGAGATAATGATAAAAACGACAATTTATTGTTCTTTTGCCAAAAAAGAAAATCGGGAAAAAATTTATTAATAGACGCAAAAAGGATGAATTAAATACACATTGTCGAGATCAAGGCAAATTAGAGAATTGTATGGTTGGGATGTATCAAAAAAAAAGTAGTGCGACAGAATATCATACACAAACCTATATCATTTAAGACAAAAAAATGAGAAATTTTAGATAATCTAACTTAAGCCACTACTTTTTGTGCAGCGAGCTTCATCAAAGTTAATATTGGAATTTGATTTAATACTGAAAATAGGAATCAATATTTTAAAAAATGTAAAATAAAAATATGTAAAGATCTGTACTGCAAGACGTAGTTAAAAAAATATGGAGCATACATGTTTGTCAAAAATGTGATTCTTTCAAATTTGTTTTTATTTTGGGTGCACTGCCACTTCCAAGTAATGCTTTGGGAAATGCTATGTAAAAAAGATTTGCTAGAAAACTTATATTCGAAAACTAATTTGCATCATATTTTATGTTTTCAATTAAAAAAACATGATAAACAAGTTAGTGTGGTTGATCAAACAATAAAACAGAACGAATAGTACGACCAAAGTTAATCAAACCACAGAACAGATTGAATAGTACAAGCAAAGTAGGTCAAAAACCAGAAAACAGAATGAACAGTAAAACCAAAGTTGATCAAACCATAAAACAGATTGAATAGTATGACCATGTTTGAATTTTTTCAGAGGTTAGTGAAATAAGACAGTTGGTTTGACGTAGAGAGTATAGATTTGAGTGTGTTCTTTTTTTCTTAAAAGGGGAAAAGTCATTTCCCCTCAAACTATAGTAGTGGTAGAGAAGTGCGGTGCGGGCATAAAAGTTTTTGTGAAAGCTCTCTTGTACTAATAGGCAAAAAGAAGATGAGACAAGGCACACATCCAATTCTACCTTAGAGAGTGCAATGCTAGAGACATAGGTAATCTTACAAGTTCTCCATGGTGTTGACAACTTGTTGCACTTCAAATTGTCCTCTGCTCCATAGAGACTAGCACATAGAAGTACTAGAACAGAATATAGAAATGTGAAATCAGCCCGAAAGCACTTGTAGGTTCAAAAGAGGAAGAAAAAATGGTAGGAAGTTGTTAAAGAAATGTGAAACACTGATGCGGTGGTCATGATGTGGGTTTTGAATTGATGTCCCAAACAAACAAGCAGGAGTCAGAGAGTTGATTGAAATAATTTTTAACAAAATATACTCCTGGAGAAACCTAAAATGTTTCTTAATTATGTGGGTTTTGAATTGATGCATTTTGATTTTTGAATACTAGAAGTCAGGTCATTAAACATGGTGTTAATAAGAGCATCTTCTTTCCTGGGCTAGGCTGGAAATGGGGTTTGACATGGTAATTTTTAAACAAAGGTAGATAAAATTATCCACTGAAAAATTTAGGTGTGCCCAAGGAATGGAGAGAAATAGAAGAGAGCAGGCAAAAGTTACCTGCAACATCAGAGGTTAGAAGATACAAAGGAAATACAGAGTAAATTAGAATGTAAATCCTGCTGTATAAAAATTTCTTGAAGTGATCTCTATGTGTGTGTACAAGGGGGTACAGCAGTGAAAAAAACCAAATGATCACATGTTAAATTTGCAAAACTACAAATTGAACATTTCATTTACACTTTGTTTGGTTCACGGAATTTGAAAGGGAAAAGAAAAGCAAATGAAGTGGAAAACAGTATTTACTTGTTTGGTTAGAGGGGGAAAGAAAGGAGAAGTGGAAGGAAAAGAAAATGAGAAGCAAAATGTACCAAGTGGAGGGAAAACCAAATTCCTCCCATTTTGGTAAGGAAAATGAGAGAAAACCATTCTCTTCTTTTCCTTCCAAAATCCTTGAACCAAACATAGTGTTAAGCTTCAAAAGTCACAAACTCTCATAAAATGGATATACTGGTAAGTGATAACTTTATGTTGAAAAAATATAGTGAAGCCATCTAAATAAAACTCAAAGAAACATGGGCTAGAATACCCTACTAGATTGTCAAGTCTTTTAAAATATAGAAGTGCTGAAACCAAAGTACTACATAGTACACAGATCATAAAGGTGACCATGATTTTAGAAAACAACTGCTAAAATGAGTGTTTGAATAAAGCAGAAAATACATATTCTGGTCTGAAAACAAACAGTAACTTTTTGCTAGAATAAAAATACGTCATTTGCTTTTGATTCTGGAACCTCAGAAGAACCACCGGGTCCAAAACAAAAAGATTGAAGCATTTATGATGATATCTGCAAATTGAATAGGTAAAACATAAAAAACCTTTTATTTGAAAAAGAAGTTGTGGACAATATGAGGTAAAATCGAGTGTTTAATTAACTACGTCCCAGAGCTCCATTACAACATGAAAGTTGTAGAAGAGCATTTGTTAGAAAAGATCCCCCAGATACTAAAATATAGAAGCGTGAGATCTATAGAAGCATGAGACCAGTAATTCATCAGCAATGGCTTCACATCTGGACTTACCTTAGCTGGACAGCAGGTCAGTTTATAAACACATAAAATTACAGCTTCCAGAAACGTATTATAGAATCATTATGAACAGCTAATAAAACATGAATAGTCCAGGCATCATAGGAATCTCAGATGGTATGGAAAGAAATATAAAATTCAGGTATAATACAACCCTAGCTAATTAGTATCTTGTGGGATCATGATCATTCCATTTTAATATTGAGCTAGGAGTCTAGAACCTTCTTTCAATATATTAAAACCAAGATATGCATTCAACTTTGAAAGAAAACAGTTTCACCGCTCAAATTGGCTTTTAGATATAAAGGGATCCTAGTTCCTTGTATCAGAGTTCCCAGCTATGAAATTGTGACATACTAATACCTGTCAAAACCTAATATATTTTTCAATACAACAATATATCCAATTGTAGATGTTTCTCTTCAAATTCTAAACAAAAAGCATGCCATAATATGCATCTGGTAACTCTTTTAGCTAAAATATTTGGTTCAATTGAGAAACGTTTTTTAATAGTGAGTCAGAAAAATATTCATTTTAAAACCGAAAACTGAAAACAAAAGCCAGCAAAATTTTAACAAGGCTGATTTTACAAAAATCCAGAAATAAAACAATTATCTCAATTGAGATTATTTTAATTATATCAACATAAAAAAGGTAACATTTTATTTTTCAAAGTTCAAACAAGTTCAAACATGAGAGAAAACAATCAACTTTCATCACATGTCTCATACAGTTCATTCTAAGGCCAATTCATTTATAATGAACATATTGTGTGGGATTTTTATATGCATGATGAAAGAAAATAAATGGACCACACTTGATTCATGTAAGGCCCATTCTCTAACCAAAAACCACTTTAAGCATTTGAAAGCACTTAATTGAAGGACAAATTATGAACAAAAGGTCAAGAATAAGATACCTTATGCATGGCCTAATGACCACGCCAGGGGGCACCACCTTGTGGCCTCACTCCTCCCTGACCCATTGGTTGGTTCTGATATCCTCCTCCCTGCACTCCGGGATGACCAGCATATCCTCCTGATGTAGCACCCTGAGACCCATATCCCGATGCATTGTTCGCCACAGGTGGAACTCCATGAGGGTTCACAGGAAGTCCCCCGAGTAGATTGCCAATGCCAAGTCCTGCTGCTGCTGGGGATGTTAGCAATGCAGTCAGTGCCTGTCCAATGGCTGGGCCCATAGCTGGATTAATCCCAATAGATGGTGCGGCTGGGGCCATCAAATGCCCTGCTGAAGCATTTGCACTCCCTCCACCACCACCAGAATACTTTCCCTTCTTTGCAGCGTGCTGATAATACTGTTGTTGCAGATGATGTTGAGGATAAGATGTTTGCTGCTGGTGTGAATAACCCTTTCCCTGCTTTGGCCCATCAATTGCCTTCTGACAATTAAGTGTATGCCCCTCAAAACTCTTTTGAGGCTCCTCCAGTGCCTTCTTCGCACTCTCAATACTCTTGTAAACAAACAAACAGAAACCTTTCGGTTTCCCTGTATTCTTGTCCAATCCCATAGGTCCTTCTTCAATCTCACCATACTTGGAAAAGAACTCATATAACTTCTTGGGGTCCAAGTCTGCGGCAACATTGCTAACAAATATCTTCCTCTGGGTATACTCAGACACAGGCGGAGAGGTTGGAGGTGGAGCTGGCACTGGACCAGTTGAAGCAAGCTGACAGGATGTGGTCCTGGAACCGATCTTCTTTTGGGGCTCTTTCAAGGCATTTCTTGCTGAGCTCCTGTGCTTGAAAAGTATAAAGGCATAGCCTTTTGACTTCCCCGATACCTTATCAGTGACGGCCTTGCAATCCTCAATCTCCCCATACTTTCCAAACACAGTAGTTAGGGTTTCGGTTGTTGTATCCCAGCCAAGACCATGAACAAAAATCTTCCTGTGTGCGGGATCTTTGTCTGCCCATGTGTTAACGTTTTCCCTGAAATCAGGGTGTTTGGACACAGCCTCCTGAACCAGGGCTTTAAGTTGCTCCTTGGAGAAGGGCTCCAGAACTCTATCCAGTGGCTCATCGTCAAAAACCTCCGTATCTATAGCCTTCCTCTCCTCCCCGTTAGCTTTTCCAGTTGAAACATCATGGGCCACCTGGTTTTCTTTGCCAGTTTCAGCATCTGTGTTCAACAGATCCGCTTGCGTATCTTCTCCTTCGTCCTCTTCCTCCTCTTCACCGTCGAGATCTGCACCTTCTACTTCCTCTTCCAATTCTTCCTCTGCCTGTTGTTCCGGATCTTGATGAGATGCTTCAAATTGGAGATCCGATTCGAGTTGTTGTTGTAGCTGTTGAATTTCGACTGGCTCTGGTTCTGGATCGGCAGTAGGCCGACTTGTGGCTCGGCTCTTTCGCTTCTTGGCCATGGCGGAGTAGAAAAAGGTAGGGTTTCGGATTAGGGTTTCAGCGAACGGGAAGGGAAGAAAAGAGAGGACGATGAAGATTTGAGGGTTTGTGACATAAAAGTCTAAGGGCACCGATATTTATTAACATGTGGAGGCCCATCGGGCCAACCCGTCAAAGTACTCGCGACGTGGATCATCCTCATAAGAATAGACTTGAAGTTTTGAACTAGGCCTTACATCCTCCCTTACCCACCAACATCAAACAAAATCTCAAAGTATATTTGGTTGGAGATGGGTAGAGATTTATTTGGTTGGAGATGGGTAGAGATTTGGAGCTTATTCTTTAGAACGGAAAAAAAAGTTGGATATTGTAATAAACTAGAAAAAACTAAAAAAAAAAAGATCTGAAAGAAAAGAAAACCTCCTAAATAGGAGTAAAACATACGTAGTATGTCATATCTTCAAAATAGGAATATCTTCAAAATAGGAGTTCAAACTTAAACTCCTCTTAATAGAAGTAATTAATTAAATAATAAAGAAAATCTCATAAATAGTATTGAATCTCTAATTAATCTCATCTCTCTACTCCCTCTCTTCAGAGCCACCCCACCATGCCTCTCTCTTCCCTCTCTCTCATTTTTAGCCACCACCCTCACCATTTTGAAGCGTTGCCTCCGTCATTTTCACCCGAAGTGCAGTACATCGCCATCGCCCCACTCTTTGTAGCGCTGCCGCACAAGCCCCCCCTTTTCAGATTTGTCACAAAGCATCCCCTGTAGACCCGGTGCGGAGCGCCGCCTCTTTCTCTCTCACCCTTGCAGATCTATCGCACCACCTATATCCATTATTGTCGCTAGTCGCGATGACTATGATTTTGATTTTTAATTAGCATCCAAATGCTCTATAATTGAGACTGCATCGTAGAAGTAAGAAATGCTTCCAACTAATTACATTCATTTATTTTCTCCAAAAAATTGCATCTTCATTAAGCATTGATTTTGGTTTGGTTTTTTCTTTTCATTTTTTGTATTTGATTGTTTTTCTTTTAATATTTTTGTTTGATTGTTTTTCTATTAGTTGTGTTTAAATTTTACTCCCAATCTTAGCAAAATTTGGTGATAGTGATAAGAAACTTGATATTGTATGTTGGAAATCTTGACATTTTACTTTCTTTTTAACATTTTATTTCGGCAGGTTTGGCATTACGCATTAATTAACATGTTTGACATTGTGCAAGACTTTGTGGTTTTGGTTGGCATTGCATTGAAAAATTTTTCACTTAGCAGTGACACCATGGCACAATGGTGGCGATAATGACAGTCCTAATCCCAACGTTGGCAGTAAATTATGAAATTGACAGCAGCAAAGTGGGTGATGGAGGCGGTATCCGCAACAAATGGGGATGAGAGCGGCATATCGTGATGGTGATAGTGCCGACCGTGGAGGTGTTAGTTAGTGGCAGCAACAATGTAGATGGTGACCGCATTTAATAGCGACGACAACATGAGATTGTGGCGATGGAGTGGCCTTGACAACAGTAGCAGCGATGACAGTAGGGGTGGCGACAATGACATGTGCGGCATGAGCTGTAGCTAATTTGAATTTCTTTAATTTATAAAATGTATTTAATTTTATATTTGTAATATGAATATAACTTCTTTTTTGTACGAGGTCAAAATTTTACTTATGTTTTTCTCCTTAACCCTTAGACATTAGATTAATTAAGTTAATTACTTCTATTTAGGGGAGTTTATGTTTCAACTCTTATTTTGAGGATATGTCATATGTTTTACTACTACTTTGCTCCTTCTCCCCTAAAAGAAACTAGAAAAAAACTAAAAGAAATTGGAAGAATTGAAAAAACTAAAAGGAACTAGATAAAACTGGAAGGAACTCGAAAAAATTGAAAGAAACTGGGAAAAAAATTAAATGAAATTGAAAAAACTAGAAAAAATTGGAAAATTTTAAAAAACTTTAAAAAACCTTTTTTGTGTATTTTTATATTATTCTCATTCTAATTCTTGGTGTTATAAATTATTAATATTGTTATTATTGTTGTTGTTGTTGTTGTTGTCATCACGTTATCTTAATGAGTGCCTTTAAAGTATAAAAAATTGTTATTTTTCTACAAAAAACTGCTTTTGCAAAAAAATAGAATATAAAATTATCATAAATATCAAAATGTTAAATATTTAAAAGTTATTGTGGCTATGCTGCACGTCACTTTATTTATGCAGTATTTATCATAAAATAATATGATTGTAATTATGCTTTATATATTACAAGTTTTGTTTTAAATATAAACATGTCACATAATGTAATCAGAATGAATCATAAAATAGTGAGATGAAAAATGAAATGATTTATAAACTATAGTTATGTACATAATAAGTGTTATAATATAATGTACATATATAGTCTTTTATAGCAAGAAATTTAAGAATATAAAACAAAAGTCCAATATTCTTTACACCGGAGGTCTCAAACTTAAATGCAATTTAACTTCCTGGCCTCTGCGGTGGCTTCAGTGACTCTTGTGTGGCCGCCACCAATGTTCTGGTAACCCTCATGTGCCGATTCTGGTGACTCCCGCTCCAATGACACGTACACACAATCGATTCCCATGCCACATCGAACACCGACCACCATCATCCTCATCATAGGTGATTTGCCAAAATCAAGCCCTCCACCTAACTCTAGCCTTGTTAGACATCACCAGCGACACCTAGAATACTGACATTGCACATCCACCAATGCAACTCTCTCTCAATCCGAGTGATTTGGCTAACCGAAGTCTCAGCCTTTATAGCCGATTAGACGGAAAGCACACCTATAATAATTTTTTACGAAGTACTTCAAATTTTAGACGCCCCAAAGTTATTTTTGAAAATCTAAAACTTCAGAGTTTTTACCAGAAAATTAAGGTGACCTAAAATAATTTTCTGTGTTACTTCCTCCGTCCTACATGTTTTGTTCTTACTTGATTATTTATAGATTACAGTACAACAAATTGATCATTAATATCTTAAAATATGACATACCAAAACTAAGTCTCAAAAATGAATTTATTGATATAATAAAAAATTTATATCATAATTTAATGTTTTTTTCATGTTAATTATGATTAAAATTTGAGCAATGCTATGTTCACAAATAGAATGATCACAAACTCCACAAACTTGCTATTTATGGTTTAAATACTCATTTTAAAATTATTTTAGAATATTTATTTTTTTTTATATTGAAGTTCACAAATTGTAAATTTGTCAAGTTTATAAAGTTTGAGTTTGTGAACCAAATATTTTCCTTAACATTTTAAAACACTAACTACAAAGGTCAAAATAAGGAGAAAAGATAGAGGACAAACTAAAATTTAATTCCATTTGGTTGCATCTCTTTTATTTTTTCTGAACCCGCCCTAAGCAGAAGAGAAATGTTAGAGTCACAAACATTTTGGTCACAAAATACACAAACTTACCATTTGTATATTAAAATGTTTACTTTTAAATTATTCAACATCATTTTATTCATTTAATGAGATGAACAAATGGTAAGTTTGTATATTTTGTGACCAAAGTGTTTGTGACGCAGTAATTTGTGACCAAATGTTAAGTCTGTGTATTTTGTGAAAAGTATTTTGTGAAGCAGTTCGACCAGCGACACAAGCCCTGGTTCGTCTTCTACCTACGCTGCCTCGCATCTCCATTAGATTTAGTTCCAGCTCCAACTTCCATTGTGAGTCTTCCTCCCTCCGTTCTCCATCGCGAAAGCATCTGCAGTAATTTCGTTAGTCTTGTTTTTGCTTTCGGCAATTCTGTTTCTGCCAGAGGGAATTTGATTTGTGGAGATCAAGTTTGTTCTCCATGGCATATTAGTTACAAGTGGAGTTGGAGAGGCATGGAGTCCCCAGCGTCTCCCTCATCTGCCTGCAAAAAATGTTTTAAGAAAGAATTGAATTCGTTTCAACATTCCAACCACTGTAGTTCAATTTAATTATGTTATTTGTTGATATAGTTCAAAAACACAAGAATTTCATGCGCAATGTAATTAAGTTCAATTCAATTTACTGCTACTGATAGAGTTGGGTAGTTTTGCTAAGAACCCAACTCATTTTGACCGCCAGGACTGCCATTGCCTATTCAGGAATAAATCTGAGGACCGACCACGTCAGCGCTCTCTCTTCATCACACCGGCTTGCCTGAGCACAGGTATAGACGTATGGTTCCTATCTTTGTTTTCTCTTCTAATTTACTTCTGATGCTGCCAATTTGGATATATGGGATGTTTCTTGTCTTCATTACAGCATTTTAAGTAACCCTATCTTCTACTTGTTTTGCTGCTGCTAGCTCATTTGACATGAGGTTTAAATTCACCCATTTCATTTCTAAGATGTTTTTATTCATGAAAATATGCTAATTTTCCCCTCTTCGGAATTTGTGCTAGTAATTCAATTCATGTCTTGAGTTATAAGTTCTAACAAGTTTCTATATCTAAATTTGCCAACCTGTTGCTTAGTTTTGAATGAATGTGTTGCATTCTGGGTTTAGTGTCTTTAGGAATTTTACTAGGTGTATTGACTAAATTAGTTCACCTTTGAGTGTTTGAAAAAGAAAATTGTACTTATACAACTTAAAAGTTGAAGGTAAGAGGTTTTTGTTGCTGCTCGAGTGCTGGAAAAATATCTTGATTGATATTATGAGATCTGAAGTTTAAGAAAAATCACATAAGGTTTGAGTGTTTTGTGATTGGTTGCTCTTGTTACCATTATGGGTTTGGGTATTTGATACTTATGGTGTATGCATGTGATAACCTTCCATGAAATATTCCAATGACTACTGTAGTGGTAGAAGTCTAACAGTTGCATTCTTGTTGAAAGCGTGGAGAAATACATATAAAATGTTGGCTAAAGGTAGGAAAGTTTCTGGCAAGGGGGAGACAGTGGTTGCCCACTATGCTTTTGGCCAACATGAAGATGAAGTGATCATAAAACACAGACTTCTAACACGTACAACAACCACAAGGGGTGAACCTCCACTAAAGAAACTTCAAAAGAAACTTACTGCTTTTGTCTTGGAGGCAGAGAAGGAAGCTGATAACTTTGATGACTGTGAAAGACTTGCCAAGGCTTTCTTGCAAGAGCTAAACACTTTTGAGATTCCGCTCCTGAAAAGCAGAGCAGTCATTGATGC